ATAACATCACTGTAAAAATTGTGATCCGCATTTATAAGATCTGGAAATGGAGGTTCAGAAAGATTAAGTAACTTAAGCAAAAGCATAACTAGTAAGTGCTAGAACCAGATATTAGGACTATTTGCTTCTAAAGCAGGTGTTTTTCCAGTGTTATCTTTCAGCATTTGAGGGTATATAGAGATTACATTGGGCTTCCCAGGTGGCACTAGTGGTAAAGAACCCACCTGCCAATGCAGGAGATGTAAACAGACACGGGTTTGATCCCTGAGTCAGGAAGATGCTCTGGAGAAGGAAATGGAGGCCCACTTCAGTATTCTTGCCTGGGAAATCTCATGGACAGAGGAGCCTGGTGGGCTACAGTCCTTAGGGTTGCACAGAGTTGGACACAACTAAAGTGACTTAGCATGCATGCGAACCACATACAGGACTTCCCTGGTGGTCCAGTGGTTAAGAATCTGACTGTGAATGTGGGGGACATAGTTCGATCCCTTGTCTGGGAAGATCCCACATGCCAAGGGGCAACTAGACCGTGCACCACAGCTATTAAGCCCAAGCCCCAGAGCCCCAGCCCTGCAACAAGGGAAGCCACTACAGTGAGAAGCCCGAGCACCTCAACTAAAGAGCATGCTCAGCAACTAGGGAAAAGCCTGTGTGCAGCAATGAAGGTCCAGCACAGCCAAAAATACATAAATGAATGAATAAAAATTAAAAAGTGAAGAACTAAAGAGCCTCTTGATGAAAGTGAAAGAGGAGAGTGAAAAAGTTGGCTTAAAACTTAACATTCAGAAAACTAAGATCATGGCATCTGGTCCCATCACTTCATGGCAAATAGATGGTGAAACAATGGAAACAGTGACAGACTTTATTTTGGGGGGGCTCCAAAATCACTGCAGATGGTGCCTGCAGTCATGAAATTAAAAGATGCTTGCTCCTTGGAAGGAAAGTTATGACCAACCTAGACAGCATATTAAAAAGCAGAGACATTACTTTGTCAGCAAAGGTCCATCTATTCCAAGCTATGGTTTTTCCAGTAGTCATGTATGGATGTGAGAGTTGGACTATAAAGAAAGCTGAGTGCTGAAGAATTGATGCTTTTGAACCATGGTGTTGGAGAAGACTCTTGAGAGTCCCTTGGACTGCAAGGAGATCCAACCAGCCCATCCTAAAGGAGATCAGTCCTGAATATTCATTGGAAAGACTGATGTTGAAGCTGAAACTCCAATACTTTGGCCACCTGATGCGAAGAACTGACTGAATTGAAAAGACCGTGATGCTGGGAAAGATTGAGGGCAGGAGAAGGAGATGACAGAGGATGAGATGGCTGGATGGCATCACCAACTCAATGGACATGAGTTTGAGTAAACTCCAGGAGTTGGTGATGGACAGGGAGGCCTGGCGTGCTGCAGTCCATGGGGTAGCAAAGAGTCGAACATGACTCAGTGACTGAACTGAACTGAAAAAACCCATGAATAGTAAAATATTAATGGTAGAATCCAGGTGGTAATTACACAGTATTCACTATAAAATTCTCTCAACTTTGCTGTAAATTTGTAAATTTTCATAATAAAATGTTTTGGGGAAAAAATCTAGAAATTTAATGCCATCCTAGTTCAGCAGGAAATGCAAAAGAGGCCACTGTTATGATTAGACCTGTATTCTGATTTCCAGGCTCGATAGCTTTTTAGACTGAATCTAATTTCCTGGATTCTGATCTTTCAGGGTTTTTATTACTTAAAACTAGTTACCTCGTCACCCTTGTATTTTGATTTTCTGGTTTATCTATTTGCTTATTTATTTTCAAATGCATATCTTCACCTTCTGTGAACCAGGCCCTGTTAGGTGCTAAGGATACAGTTTTGTCCCTGTTTCCCTGAATCCTCCATCCATGGCTTATTTTCAGTAAACAGCATCTTCGATCTCTTAATTCTATCAGAAATGCTAGTTCCTCCATCTTTGGCTGAGGCTAAAACTGACGGGACCACATCACCCTTTGAGTACTACAAGACTCCACTCCTAGAGCCTAGGAGGTTTCCGTTTGTGTTTTTGGTGGGGTTGGGGGGAGGGGCGGGTGATAGTGGTGGTGGTGTTGGTCATATCTCCAATTTACAAAAAAGAAACTACAAAATCTTCCACATTACCTAGAATGCAGAAACAATTCCTAGTCCCCTTGATTCTCCCTCTTTCACAGCTTTAGATACCAAAGGACGAACAGCCAGCATTTCTGGTCCCAGTGGCAAATCCAGCTCTAATGCAGATGCTGTGGGGGAGTAAGATACTCCAACAGTGAGATGGACCCTTAAACTATCATCACCTTATGCCATTGGATTCCTTGTTCATCGGGCTACCTTCTAATTCCCATGTAGGCCCGCAGAGAGAATGCACTGTTTGTGTTTTTCTTATGCTTGTGACAGTGATTTCTCAATCAAACCAGAAAAGCAACCAACTCTTGATTAAGAGCTGTTGCATCACACGTCTGGAGCTCAGGGAGAAAATACACCAATCATGCCACCACCACCACCATCATCATCATTTTGGTTGCTTGTGGCCATGAATTTCTCAGTGTAAACTTAAATCAGTAATGCTTGCATGTGCACTAAGTCACTTCAGTCGTGTCTGACTCTTTGCAACCCTGTGGACTCTAGCCCATCAGGCTTCTCTGTCTGTGGGATTCTCCAGGCAAGAATACTGGAGTGGGTTTCCCTGCCCTTCTCCAGGGATATTTCCGACCCAGGAATTGAACTCGCATCTCTTATGTCTCCTGCATTGGCAGGCAGGTTCTTTACCACTAGCACCACCTGGGAACCCCCTAAATCATCCCCTAAACCAGTGACTAAAAACAGGGGATGGGGAATATTCTTTCACTCTTTGTCCTTCGGGGCCTTAGTTTTGAACTGTTTTAGCTGATTTAGCCCTCATAAAGCCTTGTTTTTTTCTCAACTTCTGGTTCTAATCACTACTGTTCTCTTACTGATGACTTTACTTGTCCTCTGACCTCATGCAAGGCCCATTTTATCAGCTGAGATCTTAGCTTCTGTTTCTCCACTTTTAGCTGTGTTATTTCAGGGTCCCTTGGGAAAGGTCCAGCCAACCTAGGCCCCTGGGTCACAAGGATGCTCCCGTGGCCTGTACACACTGCACACCCAGAGCTGGGGCCTACCTGGGCAGCTTTTTGCATGTAGAATTCCAGGATTATAAAGACTTCCACCTAGTACATATCACCAAATAAAGAATATTGGTTTTAAGGACTTTGTTGGGACAAGGTAAACAATAAAACCATGATTTATAAACCAATGTCTAGTGAAAACTAAGAGCATTATGAAATATTTTATTTTTATTGGTTGGTAATTACACCTGGATAGTTTACAAAATTTTCCTAACATTCTTAATTTCATGCATCCCCCAGGAAATCCTTCCCTACTTTAAATAAAGTGTATTTTATCTATTGAATGCATTGGTACTTCTATCCTGTTATACAATTACAACGCTGTAAATAAACAGAAAGAGCTATGTGGTTTGACTACTTCAACCAGAGAGAATTAGCTCCTTAAGAAGAACAGTGTTATTATCCTTTTCCCTTTAGAATCAAAAGGAGTCTGATGATAGCTCTTTGAAAGGATGATGCTGAGAAGACTAAGTTTTCTCAAGTCTTCACGTCCCTATTCTGCTGTCTTACTTTGGATGACTGTGAACAGACTGCAATATATGTCTCTGCTAGGGACCCCAAAGAGCTCACTGCATAGGACCTACTCCAGCTTGGCTTTATATTTTCTGCATTTCTCTTCTGTTTTTGTTCAGAAAAGCTATGGGGTTAAAAACAATGTGTGTGTGTGTGTGTGTGTGTGTCTGTGAGACAGAGAGAAACCATTTTAGTTACCATGTGTTTTAGTATTTACTATTATTCAAATATATTCATCTAACATTATGATCACTCTAATTGGCATATATTTTTTTGTATATACTTGTAGTGGTTCAGTTACCCAGTCATGTCTGACTCTTTGCAACCCCATGGACTGCAGCATGCCAGGCTTTCCTGTCCCTCAGCATCTCCCAGAGTTTGCCCAAGTTCATGTTCATTGCATTGGTGATATACATACTTATATACAGCTTAATAGCGTGCAGTTGGAGATTATTTAGCACCTCTGATTCACATCAGAGGCACTGGGCAATCTTAAATCTCCTGTTCAACAAGTGAAGTGAAAGTGAGTGAAGTTGGTCAGTCGTGTCCGACTCTTTGTGACCCCATGGACTGTAGCCTACCAGGCTCCTCCACCCGTGGGATTCTCCAGGCAAGAATACTGGAGTGGGTTGCCATTTCCTTCTCCAGGAGATCTTCCCAACCCAGGGATCGAACCCCGGTCTCCTGCATTGCAGGCAGACACTTTACCATCTAAGCCACCAGGGAAGTCTTGGCCCTGTTCAACAAAGCAGGGTATAAATCAACCAACTAACAAACGATGTGCCGTGTGCTCAGTTGGGCCTGATTCTTTGTGACTCCATTGGCTGTAGCCCACCATGTTCATCTGTCCATGGGATGACCCAGGCAAGGAACACTGGAGTGGGTTGCCACTTCCTCCTCCAGGGGATCTTACCTAACTCATGTCTCCTGTGTCTCCTGCATTGTAGAAGATTCTTTACCATCCACCTGCAATTGGGGGAGCCATCGGGGAAGCCCCAGAAACTATATAGAGATACAATATGTACAATACAGTGAGGACTATTCAAGTCCTAACTTTACTAGATATTTCAGGTAAAGGTCAAACTGGTACTTTAATAATTCATAAAGAATTATTATATGCTGCTAAGTCACATCAGTCGTGTCCAACTCTGTGTGACCCCGTCCCTGGGATTCTCCAGGCAAGAACACGAGTGGGTTGCCATTTCCTTCTCCAATGCATAAAAGTGAAAAGTGAAAGTGAAAGTGAAGTCGTGTCTGACTCTTCGAGACCCCATGGACTGCAGCCTACCAGGCTCCTCCGTCCATGGGATTTTCCAGGCAAGAGTTCTAAAGGATTATTATTAAAATAACAACTAGAACTCATTTATAACTGTATAAAGGAGACTCTGTTTCTAATAAATATCTATTATTCATGATTTATTACATAAATGGTATTATTATTATTTATTTAATAAGTAATATGTTAATCGTTCTTCAGGATTAACTATTTTATGTTAACACTATATGAGAAAATGCTATCTTAACCTCTCTATGGGATGTGTGCAATTCTAACATACCTGTGGAAATTCAGCATTTTCATTTATCACCAGGCATTAAGACATTACTCCACCATCCCCGCCTCTCCCACCTCATCTTCATTCCCACTGTCACCTCCTGGAAATTAGGACAGAGGACAGAGATATAAATTCTACATAACTGGGCAGCTTTTACTACCACACACCACCTGACCCAGGTCCTGAGAGTGACATTTGTATATTTGTCATACACACTTTCACTCAGTTTAAGTACATAACAAAGCTTAATGCTCTCTGCTCAAATTTGCTACAGGTACATTCTTAACATTTCAGGCATGCATAAAAGTAGAGGTGTTGTGTTTGTTTGGTTTTTTTTCTGCTTAAATCAAATAGGGAGGTGGCTGTTGTTTTTGGTCACAGTTCTCACACTTGCTGAGAATTAGGTGAGGATTTTTAGGGGTGGGGGAAGCCTGTGTAAGGGCTTCCAGTGAAGCCATTAGGTGAAAACCTTCGGTTTAAACCACAATGTCCAGGGCTGGCCTCTGTCTTCTGTCTCAGGGCTGCCTGGCCTCCTGCCTGTCCCAACCCCTTGCACCTCTGCTCCAACATTAATAGCTGTTTGTTGGTGGGGGAGAGACTTTCACTTCTACATTATGCTCTTCTGCATTGTCTGCATTTTCACATACTCTATGTGTATGTGTATGAAAACACTGAAGTTCTTCTTTCCTTGCCTGCTTTTTTACAAAGCCATGCATTACTTACATTAAATTATAAATGTGAGATGTTCACCCTGATGCAGCCTGCCCGTAGCTACCCACACTCACCCCTTCTCTCTGCTTCCCACCTCATTCTCTTTCCCTTCTCACCTTTTTCTTCTTCTCTGCTCTCATGAGGTTCCAGTGTTGCCTTTCTTCGTTTGCATAGATTTTTTTTCTCCACTGTACCCTTTGTGGGAACCATCTTAGAGATTTCTCCCAGGTCCTCATTTGTAATTACATTCTCCTTTGGATGCCATGATGGCTGACCTATAGGCCATAGCTCAGAAACACTTGTCCAGAGTGACTCCAGAATGGAGTGGCATATTTCTCCACTTCTTTTACTTTTTATCTTCATATGTTTTGAGAACAATTATTAAAAATGTGTTCTTCCTCTTCCTTCAAGTCCTTTTCCCTTTTGGCTAGTATAGCAGGTTTTGTTACCGGCAGAACTTTCTCTAAAGTGAAAGGCGACAGAGAGTTAACTAAAAGACACAGTGAGCTCCTGGGTGTGTCCAGAGTCTGATTTGGTTTGAGAAGAGGAACAGAAAGAATTTTTGTATTTTAGAAATGGAGGAGGCCTCTTGGCCTAGTTTGAAAAACACAAACAGATAAAATTCTGTTTTTAAAAAATCCAACAAAGTCTAGTTGGGAAGCTAAGCTAGCATCTTGTTACTAATGCATCAGAGGTCTTGGTCACATATTTTTAATGCACTTGTTACTTATTAATTTAATATCCGAATGCATAGAGCTCCTCCTGACCCCTGTTAACCTTAATCGTGAGTTTTCTGTGCAGCCCCTCTGGAGCCCACCCTGGAGAGCTCGCTTTCGGGACAGCTTCCAGGTAACCTGGGGCTTCAGTAAAGCACCGACCGATTGGTCTCGTCGCTCCTGTGTAGGCCGTGGTTTCTGCGCACACAGAAAATGATGGGGTGAGTCATAGTCCTCCTTTTCAACAAAAGGGCATTGTACTATGCTGTTTGATTCAGGCTCTGGCGTGCCACTTGTGGCTGCAAACGTATGGGACAGGAGGTTGGCTTGCAGCTGCAGTCTAATGCGCTGCTTTGGGTGTGCCGCGATAGACCGTGAGATACTTTAAGGCTGCGAGGCTTTGATTTACCTTCGATCCTCAGCGCTAAGTGCACTTGTGCTTAGCTCGGGGCAGCGCTAAGCCAGTTTGGCTTGGTTGGAAAGCTGCAAAAGAGGGGAAGGACTAAAGTTTGCGATGTGCTGGGGGGAGCGGGAGAGGCCCTCTGATGAGGCCGGCTTGCCGGCCCAGCGCCGGCAGGGGGCGCAGTTGCACCAGTAGCTAGAACGCCCCACTTGTTTACTTGAGCGTTACCTTTTTGGTGAATCCGGAGACGTGAGACCCTAGAAATTTAAACTTAAACCTGCACATAAGTATTAGAATATGAACTATTGAACAGAACAAACTCGCATTATATTTAGTCCAAAAGGCACAAGAATAGTCCGGAGTTAGCTTACCGAATACTGAGTCAGGACACCTCCCAGAGTCAGATCTAAAGAGGAAAATTACCTGGTCAGCCTTCCAGGAAATTTGAATAATTTTGCATTTGGACGCTTCTTACACTCACTTGACGAACTAGTTCTTCTGATTTAGCCACCTCATTTGTCAGAGGAGAAGCCGACGTTTATGAAACCAGTCCCCTAGTCTCCTCAAGAGGATGTAGCTACAGAAAAATTATATAGAACTTTTCCGGGGTTTAGCCATGCTTTGAAAACACACAAAAAGAGGGCCATTTGGAAAACTGCACTTACAATCCTGCTCTCATACACACACACACACACACATACATATGTACCTGTATAAAATATAACATTTATACACAAAAATATATGCATATAGTATATATTTTATGGGGCTTCCCAGGTGGTTCAGTCGTAAAGAATCTGCCTGCCAATGCAGGAGATGCAGGAGATGTGGGTTCGATCTCTGGGTCAGGAAGATCCCCCGGAGTAGGAAATGGCAACCCATTCCATTGGAAACTTCCATGAACAGAGGAGCCTGGCGGGTTACAGTCCATGGGGTTGCAAAGAGTCGGACACGACTGAGCTACCGAGCACACAGTATATATTTTATATATGATAAATATATACTAAAAATCTATCTATCTCTGCCTGCAATGCAGGAGACCTGGGTTTGATCCCCTGGAGGAGGACATGGTAACCCACTCCAGTGTTCTTGCCTGGGACATCCCCTGGACGGAGGAGCCGAGCAGGCTACAGTTTATGGGGTCACAAAGATCAGACGTGACTGAGTGACTCAGCACAGCACAGCACATCTATCTATCTATCTGTCTGTTTTTCAGGCCCTTTATAGAGGCAGCATAGCCTAGTGACCTCAGCATACAGGATCACTAGATTTGAATTCTTGGTTCTGTCACTTATTAGCTGTGTGACCTTGTGCAAGTTACTTAACCTCTCTGTGACTTAATTTTCTCACCTATAAATGAGGTTAATAATAGTAAATGTTTCATTAGCTTAAGGATTAAATAGGTTAATTTTATAAAGCTCTTAGGGATCATCCTTGGTACATAAAAAAGTACTATAATAATTGTTAGATAAAATTCATAAAATTTTGAAAACACTATCTTAATCATGAATGTAGATCACATTTCATAGGTACTTTTTAAAAGGTTTGAAGTTGGCCTTTAATAATATCATTTTTAGGGAAAATCTATCATATAATAAATGATAAAGATGTGAGAAAGAATGTGTGAGTGGTAAACCTGTCCACCAGATCGAGTCTGAAGCTTTACATTGATTCCAGGTGAGGCTCTGGTTTCCAGGGTGAAGAAAAGTCATCTGACAACCTTTTTTTTTCTCATTTTGGAAAACTAAAAAACAACCCCAGGAATTCCCTGGTGGTTCAGTGGTTAGGACTTCGAGCTTCCACTGTCAGGGGCGCAGGTTCCATCCCTGGTCAGGGAAACTAAGATTCCACATGCTGTGTGTCGCGGCTAAAAAAGCAAACAAACAACAAAAAACCCCAAAACAGAAACCCCAAATTTAAATGCCCAAATCTTCGGAGAATCATGTGCTTGGAGCACTTTAAATGTAACTGCCCCCTTGGAGTCTGCTGTTTGGGAGGAGCCACAGCTTTCTTTCGGAAGCTGATTTCTTCATCAGCTTCCTCCCCTGTTCCTGAGTGCCTCCATCTGAGCCCGCCACTGTTGTATTCAGCTTGTCTGTGGGGGCTACAGGGAGTGGCTGGCAGGAAAGATGATCAAGGATAGTCTGTCCAGGCCATGTGGGACATCTGGACTCAAGGGTCAGCCACTAGAAGTAGGGTGGTCTCTGTCCCGCGAGAGGCCACTAGGATCCAGCTGAAGACCAAGTTGGGGCAGTCAGGCCCAGCTCTCAGGGGCTGTCACTAGACAGATCAAAGCAGCTCTAAGAGTGCAGAAGAGGCAGCTCCCCCTACTTGAGGAGAAGGATAGCAAGAAAACAGTTCAGTTCAGTTGCTCAGTTGTGTCTGACTCTTTGCGATCTCATGAACCGCAGCTTGCCAGACTTCCCTGTCCATCACCAACTCCCTGAGCTTGCTCAAACTCATGTCCATCGAGTCGGTGATGCCATCCAGCCATCTCATCTTCTGTCGTCCGCTTCTCCTCCTACCTTCAATCTTCCCCAACATCACGGGCTTTTCCAATGAGTCAGTTTTTCGCATCAGGCGGCCAAAGTAATGGAGTTTCAGCTTCAGCATCAGTCCTTCCAATGAACACCCAGGACTGATCTCCTTTAGGATGGACTAGTTGGATCTCCTTGCAGTCCAAGGGACTCTCAAGAGTCTTCTCCAGCACCACAGTTCAAAAGCATCAATTTTTCGGCACTCAGCTTTCTTTATAGTCCAACTCTCACTTCCATACATGACTACTGGAAAAACCATAGCTTGGACTAGAAGGACCTTTGTTGGCAAAGTAATGTCTCTGTTTTTTAATATGCTATTAAGAATGGTCATAACCTTCTTTCCAAGGAGCAAGCATCTTTTAATTTCATGGCTGCAGACACCATCTGCAGTGATTTTGGAATCCCAAAAATAAAGTCTGTCACTGTTTCCATTGTTTCCCCATCTATTTGCCAGGAAGTGATAGGACTGGATGTCATGATCTTAGTTTTCTGAATGCTGAGTTTTAAGCCAGCTTTTTCACTCTCCTCTTTCACCTTCAACAAGAGGCTCTTTAATTCCTCTTCGCTTTCTGCCATAAGGGTATCTGTGTATCTGAGGTTATTGATATTTCTTTCCACAAACTTGATTGCAGCTTGTGCTTCATCCAGCCCAGCGTTTCTCATGATGTACTCTGCATATAAGTTAAATAAGCAGGGTGACAATATACAGCCTTGACGTACTCCTTTCCCGATTTGGAACCAGTTTGTTGTTCCATGTCCAGTTCTAACTGTTGCTTCTTGACCTGCATACAGGTTTCTCAGGAGGCAGATAAGGTGGTCTAGTATTTCCATCTCTTTAAAAATTTGCCACAGTTTGTTGATCCACACAGTGAAGGGCTTCGGCATAGTCAGTAAAGCAGGAAAACAGCCCTGGAAGAAATGCCCTAGGGTCTCAACTGAGGAGAGGAGTGAGCGGAGGTCTTCAGGAAGAGAAAAGGGTCCCTAAAAGGCCTTGGCTGTGAGGGGGCAGGGCTGAGAGGCTGTCTGCGAAGAAGAAAAGCTGGTCTCTAGTTGGGTGGAGGGCTCAGATAACCAACAATCAGGGAGATCTGCTGAGGTGAAAGACGATGCTAGCAGGAAAGCCCCTGAAGAGCATGGAGGAAGCCCTCAGTTCCCCTCAGACAGCTCTTCACGTGCTACCTGCAGGCCACCATTGGGAGGCTTCTGAGAGAAGAGACAGGGTTACCCCACACAAGCACTTGCCAAGCCAGGTGACCCATTGAGAGAAGCTGCTAATTGTAATAGAGGCAAAATGTTATCTGTGCTAAGTTTAAAACAGTTCTCCGGGGGAAGTAAGGACAGGCCAAGGCAGCCTAAAAGTTGGCTTTGCAGAGTTACAACTGACAGAGGGTTGCCGCGTGTCCTGTGCTGAACCAGACAGTGTGGTGTTTTAGTTTCTGGTGTATTAAAATGCAGTGAATACTTGGTTTTGTTTTGTTTTTTTAATCACTATTATTTCAGATGTACTTTTTCTTACATTTCGATTGATTTTCTAATCAGCAGAGGTTTGTAATTTCACCTTTTATTTACTCCTTCTGCTAAATATTAAATGGACAGCACTACTTAAAGGAGAATTATGAGCCATTTGAGATATCTAGGTATCTGTGTGCAAGTAAACTGTTCCAACACTCATGCTAAGTATTCTGTTAAATAAATATCTGTCCCTTGGGAGGGGAGGGTACACTCTACAAAACAATTTTTTTCCCCCTCAGTCTCTGTGGGGTGGATATTTCTGCAATCCTAGGAAACACTTATCTTTAGTGTAATAGAAGAGCTAACATTTACTGAGCGTTTACCATGTGCTATGTGAGCCATCAAGGTCCTCTGCTCTTTCTCACAATAGTCCCAACAGAGAGATGCTCTAATTATCCTCATATTACAGAAGAGGAAACAGGCTCAGGAAGATTAAGTATTGAGACCAAAAACCTAGATGTTATCCTCAATTCCTCTCCCCCCACCCCCAGACCCTCATTATTAACAAGTTCTGCCATTCTGTAACACCAAAATATATCTAAAAATCTGACCTTTTTTTCACCCTAACTCAAGTCCTCATTATCTTTCTTGCTTGGATGTTGCATTAGCCTCTAACTGCCCCCAGGCCACTCTTACCCCTGATATAATCTTCCTTCCACACTACAGCCAGCATGATCTTTTTAATTAATTTATTTTATTTTTATTTTTTGGCCACACCCCATGGCATTCGGGATCTTAGTTCCCCAGCTCCCCAACCAGGAATCTAACCCATGCCCCCTACACTGGAAGCTCGAAGTCTTAACCACTGGACTGCCAGGGAAGTCCTAGTGTAATTCTTTTAAACTGTAAGTCAAAAAAATAAAAAATAAACTGTAAGTCAGATCACATACTCTCCAATGACTTTCCTTCACATTTAAGATAAAGTGGAGGACTTATAAGGCCCTACATGATCTGGTTCCTGGTTGCCGTGTGCAAAGTCTTCATTCACTTAACAAAGAATTATTGAGGGCTTCCTTGGTTGTTCAACAGTAAGGAATCAGCCTGCAATGCAGGAGCCACAGGAGACATGGGTTCGATCCCTGGGTCAGGAAGATCCCCTGCAGAGGGGCATAGCAAACCACTCCAGTATTCTTGCCTGGAGAATCCCCTGGACAGAGGAGTCTAGCGGGTTACAGTCCATAGGGTCGCAAAGAGTCAGACATGACTGAAGCAACTTAGCATGCACTACCTACATGCCAGGCACTATTCTAAATGCTGGGCAAATTGTTCCGGTCCAGAGCTTACAATAATCAAGGAAATATGTAGGATGACATGCATTATATTGTAATAACCTGTAATGAAGCATAACCTGCAAAAATACCGAAACACTAAGCTGTACACCCGAAGCTAACACAATATTGTAACTTAACCAAACGTCAATTAAAAAAAAAAAAAAGAAATACGTAGGCTAGCAGGTAGTGGATAGAAAACAGAAGGGCAAAAGCAGACCAGTAACAATGTACAACGTACAGGTCTGAAATTGGGGCATTGATCGAAGTTTGTCTGTCTGTTTTTTTCCAAAGAAAATGCATTAAGGCAGTGCTTTTGCTGGGACTTCCCTGGTGGCTCAGTGGCTAAGGCTCGGGGCTCCCCATGCAGGGGGCCGGGGTTTGATCCTTGGTCTAGGAACAAGATCTCACATGTCACAGCTAAAGATCCTAGGTGCCACAACTATGACCTGGTGCAGCCACATAAATAAATATATATGTGTATATTTTAAAAGGCAGTGCTTTGGAATTAAAAATGAAAAAAAAAATGCCCCTTTTTTTAAAAGGAAAAAAGAAAGGGAAACTGCAGACAGTCTGGTGGTGAAAGCAAAGGGTGCAACTTTAAGTTGTCTTTCTGGGAGAGCAACTGGGTTTAGAAGATTAAACTATGCATATGTAAAGCAAAGATTTTGAACCATTTTCTGGGTTACACTTACGTCTTTAGTTTCACGAAGGATGACTTGAAGCAGCCACATTTGTGATGTAAAGCTTATTCTTCAGTGTTACTTTCCATTTGCAAATTGGTTGGATCCACTTGAGTCAAACTGTGCTTTTGTAGATGTCATTGCTGCTTTTGGACGTGTTCTCTCAAATTAGGTTACAGAAACAAGAGCTGAATTATACACACAGCTGCAGAAATAGATTTCTACTTGCAAATGTAAGATGAAAAATAGGAAACCTGAGAGAGCTCCTTTAGTGTTGAAACCAACCGACCAACTTTCTGGGTAAAGTGCTGTTTCTTAACACATTCAGAAATTGGTGGGTGGGTGTCCACATGGCCTGAGGGGGCAGGCAGTCAGTCCCCTTTTAGAGCATAAGCTGGGGTCACACAGATGGATGTTTGAATCCAGTTCTGCTCTTCCTAGTTGGATGACCCTGGTCAAGTCATTTAACCATTACTTTCCTCATCTGCAGAAACCCCTGTGCCCAGAGCTCCCTCATGGGTGGCTGTGAAAATTAACTGCGATGACTGAGTGCAGAGCGCTCTGCTTGATAAGTGGAAGTCACTGTGAACTGTCCGCAGACTCCTTCTGGCTTCCGTGCACTTCTGTTTTTGTTCTTGCTCTGCTCACAGGCAGCGTGAACACGGAATTAATCACCCACACTGGGGCCCTTTGAAATATAAAAGCGGACACCAAACCTGAGAGAACTCTGGGCTCTTAGGAGGAGGTTGGGACTCTCCCAGGCAAACAAAGATGTAGGGTCACCCTCCCGGAGACTGAGAAGCCTGTGGGAGGGGATGGCTGCCACCACCAGTGCCTGCTGGAGGGACAGAGAAGGGGAGGAGGTAGGCAATGTTAGTTGCCCAGTCACGTCCAACTCTTTATGACCCCATGTCCTGTAGCCTTCTGGGCTCCTCTGTCCAAGGGATTCTCCAGGCAAGAATACCGGAGTGGGTTGCCATTTCCTTCTCCAGGGGATCTTCCCAACCCAGGGATCAAACCTGGGTCTCCTGCACTGCAGGCAGATTCTTTACCTGCTGAGCAACCAGGGAAACCCAAGGGAGGCAAGGAGGGGCCTTGTATGGATTGGTGTGCTGGTTAGAAACTAAAAGTCAGTTCTAAACAGGTTTGAAGAGAAGAAGCCCCGTTTCCCTCCTCTCCTGCCACTTTATAATTTTGGCAACGGACCTCCCTCTGTTGTGCCCAGATTGGGCTGGAGATTAAGCCAGCATGTGCCAAGATAGCATCAGACCGCAGAGGCAGGGTGAGGATCCCCAGCCTGGTTATGAGTAAGCCTTTTCTTGTGAACTGAACCATGGGGATTTATGCCACTGTGTTTGTTTCTCTTTGTTACTTGCCAGCACAGTGATACCCCAAACTGCCAGAATTTAAGGATAACTGACTTTACTTTCAGATACATGCTCCCATTCTCTACCAACAGAGACCTGAATCCAAATCTCTTGACATTGTGTATATTTAAATGAGGGTCTGGGACAGTTTCTGTGACCGGCGAAGTCAGGAAACATTGCTCTTGCCTTGAGAAAAGCCATTTAAACGTTCTGGCTTTAACTTGGTTGTGCCATGAGATGTTAAGAAATGCCTTTTGTCATCTCGCGTTTGGGCCTCAGCTATCAAAGGAGGGATGGATCCGAGGGGGCTCTGATGGAGCAAAGACAATCAGGGTGAGATTTACAGTACAGACAAATATCCAGGACAGGGTTTAGGGTTCTGTGGTCTGTCTGCTTCTGGCCCTGCCCTCACTGGGATCTTTTTCAACGCAACTTAGGAGGAAGTGAGCCCTATGCGTGCTGTGTGTGTTATGTCACTTCAGTCGTCTCCGATTCTGTGTGACCCTATGCACTGTAGCCTGCCAGGCTCCTCCATCCATGGAATTTTCCAGGCAAGAATACTGAAATAGGTTGCCATGCCCTCCTCCAAGGGATCTTCCTGACCCAGGGATCAAACCCATGTCTCTTATATCTCCTGACTTGGCAGGCAGGTTCTTTACCACTAGCGCCACCTGGGAAGCCCCAGTGAGCCCTATATTTATTATTAAAAAGCAGTGATTCCGTGTCCCTATACTCTATTTAGTTATTGCTCTTTCTCTTCTTTCCCCATCCTGCTTCCAGAAAGACTCATTCACTCCTCTCTCCACTTCCTTAATTCTCATTCACTTCCGACTACGGTCGAGTGAAGCCTGGCCTGGGCGATCTGCCCTGAGTGGCCCTGAGCAGGTCAGTGAACCACTCCAGCCTCGGTTTCTCCACTGTGCCTTCTACACGAGGTAAGGCACTTTACTCTCTTCCTACCCACCTCTGCCCCTCGTCCAGAGATGAAACTTCTTTTCCTGAAAGCGTTAGAAACCTAATTGTAAGATTTGATGGTTATTTTTCAGAGCTCAACTTACTTTTCTTGTCAAGAGTTATGACTATACTCAGTTGTTGAGATTCTTTTTTTTTCCTTTCATCTTTGTTCCTTTTCCTGGTTTTTGCCTCCTGGTTCTTTTTCCTTTGATAAACTCAACAGTTAGATGTATTAATGGAATTATGCAGCCATCAGAAGGTATCTCTAAAACTGTGGAAAGATGACAAAATGATTACCTGAACATCTTAAGTATCAATAGAAAGAGTGCAATGCAAAATACTACAAGTTAAAAATAGGTAAGGTGGGACTTCCCTGGTGATCCAGTGGTTAAGAATGCACCTGTCAATGCAGGTTTGATCCCTGGTCTGGGAAGATCCCATATGCCTTGGGGCAACTAAACTTGTCTGAGCCCGCACTCTAGAGCCATGCTCCTCGAGAAGAGAAGCCACTGCAATGAGAAGCCCATACACCACAACTAGAGAATAGCCCCCACTTGCCACAACTAGCAAAAGTCTTTGAGCAACAATGAAGACCTAGCACAGCTAAAAATAAAAGTAAATAATAAAGAAAAAAAAATAGGTAAGGTGCTGATGCTCGTAAGAAGGCATTATAGCCACATGACCAAAGAAAACAGTATATTACCCTAGACTCTAGCCACACCCACACTCACACCCAAGATCTCCCAGGGACAAAGGGAACCTCACAAATGAGAAACTGTCATTTGCTATGAGCACCCTGGTAAGCTGGGTCTGAGTCCTGCTTTGGGTTTCAGATCTGAAGACTCCTTCTATTTTCCAGGCATAAATAAACTCTTACCTCTGCAGGAGCCCATCAGATAGGTATGTTTAGCCCTCTGCCTAAGATAGATCAGATCCTAGTTTCAGCAGTGAACAAAGAGGCAGCAGAAAAGATAAGAGATTCTCTTTGGGGTGTGTTGAAGCAGGCTCATGGGACTTGAGAGCTGATTCTGATAACTCTCCCAAACTCGTCCGATAATCTTCCCAATTCTGATAACTCTTCTCAATGTGAGTTCACTGAACTCACGTTGATAGCTTGAAATCAGCCATGGTGGGAGAATTTACAACATGGAAAATGGCAAACAGTACAAAGTATGGCTCTCCACCCCCCACCCTTGCCCAAAGCTGAATGTTAACTGTTCATTGGCACACAACTGGGAGAGGGCAGAAAACCCGTTAGCCTCCCCTACTCTGAGCTGGCCCTGGTTACTTTCATTATAGGAAGAGACAGAGATGTCTAGATTCATATCTGCAATAATAAAGATAACAACAATGATGTAGACACTAACTGAACACATCTGGCACTGCGCTTCACTGTACTAGCCAAGTGCCAGGCATGGCCTTAATTTACACTTCAATGACTTTATGAAATAGGGACTGTGATTACCTCTGTTTTACATATGAGGAAACTGAAGACCAGAATAAGTAATTTGTTAAATGTGCCACTGCTGGTGAATAGAAGATTCTGGATTCCAGACCAGGTAAGGCCTCTCAAGCAACTCAGCTCTCACCCCTCATCATAACCCCTTCCTGGGGAAAGGAGGAAGACAGATTGGAGAGTTTCATCCCCAACTAGCAGTTGACAGCATGTATTTCTATGATTGAAATGTTATATTTAAAATATTCATCCTTGTATATTGTGATACAACTTAAAAAAAAATAATTTTGTTTTTAAAAATTCTGGCTATGCTGGGTCTTCGTTCCTGCGAGGGCTTTTCTCTAGTTGTGGTGAGCAACGGCTACTCTAGTTGTGGTGCTCAGGTTCTCATAGCAGTGGCTTTTCTTGTGGAGGAACCCCACTCTGCAATGGAGAGTAACCCATGCTCACCGCAACTAAGAGAAAGCCCATGCGCACCAATGAAGACCCTGTGCAGTCAAAAATAAGTAAATTTGATTTAAAAAAAAGAGGGATCTGACATTGGCTTGGAAAATCTTGGAAAGCTAACCTGGGATGTGTCAGTTTTGCTCTGCCTGAAGGATGAGAACAAGGAGGAGGAATGTGGGGCCCAGTGAGGGGCGTTTGTTAGGGAGACAAGGAACTGGGGGAGCAGGAGCTGTGAATCTGGAAGAACAGGAGGAAACTTGAGCAACACAAAGGCTAACTCAAACGCTTGCAGAGAGGAAGGACTGTGGGAGAGGAAAAAGGGCCATGCCTCCCTAAAGTGTATATAAATTTAAAAAGGATGTGACTGCGGGTTATTGGTTTGTGATCTCTGCTTGACAGGGAATGTGAGAGTCATTAGATAATAGCTGAAGTCTGGAGAGTGTCCTGAACCTGAATGTTCAAAGGATTCTAGAACTTACATTCTGGATACAAAAGGACAACCCAGCAGGAGTCCCTGAGCCGGAAAAAGAAAAACTGGCTGTGAACGTGATGTTACCAAAGGCCAGGGAAAGAGGGCTTTTTAAGGAAGAGTCAGTGAAAACTGCCAAGAGAGCAAAACAAATGAGAACTGAAAAAACTATCTGTTGAATTTCACAACCCAGAGGTCAGTGACCTTCCCTGAATGCCCACCCTGGGCTCATACTGTTTGACAAGTCTCATGCATCTTCTGGATTGTCTGTGTCTTTTGCCGTGACTGGGGGGAGTGTGGGCTGCTTTAGATCCAGCACAAGCTCCCAGAGACCTGGCCACATTCTAGCCACAACCAGAATAGTGTTGTAAACAAGACCATTATAAGATAAATATATAAATATATATTTACGACAATTGCGTTTATTTATTTTTGGCTGTGCTGGGTCTCCGTTGCTGCGTGGGCTTCTTTCTAGTCGTGATGTGCAGGCTTCTCATTGCGGTGGATTCTCTTGTTGCAGAGCACAGGCTCTCCGGCGCGTGGGCTTCCTTAGTTGCGGTTCCTGGGCTCTGGGGCACAGGCTCAGAAGTTGCGGCGCATGGGCTTAGCTGTTCCACCGCATGTGGGATCTTCCCGGATCAGGGCTCGGGCCCCTGTCTCCTGCATTTGACAGGTGGATTCTTTACCACTGAGCCACTAGGGAAACTCCAATAAGATAAATACATTTTTGACAAGGCAATCTATTACCACATGCTTTGACATCAGAGAGGCTCAACTGGACTCGTTAAAAAAACAGAAGCATGTATTTCCCATGCAGTGCTGTATAGGTAGGTATCTGAAGTTTAGATCTTCAGAGCCAAAGTTCTATCAGATGTACTACTGACTTTACTTGAGACAAAGAAAGTGTTTTGAAAAAAAAAAAAGAAGAAAAAAAGAAAGTGTTTTGGAAGTATAGAATTCTACCAGTTATTTAAAACTATAATATAAAACTATTATACCCTTATTTGTGGAAGAAATATTCTAAAAATGTCTCATAGTACAGAGAGTAGTTTCCTAAATTGAAATTATAAAATTTCTTATTATAACTGACATTTTCAAGAGAAGACTAGAGCACATGATGATTAATGAACTCAACATAAATATTCCAAACTGAACAGTTTCTGCAAATAAAGTTGTCTTAAAAACTGCAAATATTTGCCTGAATGAATCATTTCTTAAGGCCCCCATAAAATGACTCTTTATCAAGAAAAAAATTCTACATGTATGGGAATTAAATTTAGAAAAAATTAACATAATTGAATGTAGTCATCGTTAAAATATCAAAACAGAGCATTACACTTCCAAGTAATGATTTTTAAAGCTCTAGTGTGGAACACTCTAAAGTGTAATTAATATTTAAGCAATATACTAACATTAGTCATACAATATAGTTAAGGTCATTATAGTTAAGATAAATTATATAGAATTGATATATAAATAGATATATATATACACATATAATTTCCCCTCAGAGGACTTTAGGAGGATATTTGTCATGGTTAATTCTTCTTCCATTTTATTTACAAATTGAGAACTTTAATAAGCAATATATTTGAAATTAAATGGTTCAATGGGATTTAACCTAGACTCACATGTTGCACTTTCCTTTTTTTTTAAACATACGTTGTACTTTTATATATATTGTTGTTGTTGTTTAGTCACTCAGTTGTACCCAACTGCATTTTAAAAACATCTATAATTTTCAATAACCTCAAAAGTATTAAAATAAAGGAAACTTCTACTTTAGGTCTTGGCCCTGTTATCAGATGGGTCTTCCTACAATTCTGCTTTCATCTTGTTAGTGCCATATATTATTATCCAGTGGCTTCCCATTTCCTACAGAATGAAGTTCAACTCTTGACATCAAAACATTCCACAATTTGGCCTCAGAATTTTTTTTTTCCCCAAACTAAGCCATGCCCCTCACTGACTTAGTATTAGTGAAGTTCATTCTCACCCTGAACTGTGTTCCTTACCTCTAATGCTCTTCCTCTTTCTCATCTTCAAATCCTGTGGTCTTTAAAGGTTCTGTTGGACTCCCACCTCCCCTGTGAAATCTTTATGATGCTTCCAGGCCTTCCTCTGATCTTGCCTTCACCACTTATATTGGCTCTTGAAAGAAAGTGAAGGTGAAGTCACTCAGTCGTGTCCAACTCTTTGGGACCCCATGGACTGTAGCCTACCAGGCTCCTCCCTCCGTGGGATTCTCCAGGCAAGAGTACTGGAGTGGGTTGCCATTTCCTTCTCCAGGAGATCTTCCCAACCCAGGGATCGAACCCGGGTCTCCCGCATTGCAGGCAGACGCTTTACCACCTGAGCCACCAGGGAAGTCTCGGCTCTTAAGCAGCCACTATTACTATACACTGGCTCTTACGCAGCCATTACACTAGTTCATGCTTTTAAGAGTAGTGTCTTCAACCAATGGGAAATTCCTCATTTACTGTCTTTGGTGCCCAGCACAGTCCTGAGTATAAAATTATAAAGTGAAAGTTGCTGACTTTCTGACTCCTTGCAACCCCATGTACTATATAGTCCATGGAATTCTCCAGGCCGGGTAGCCTTTCCCTTCTCCAGTGTCTTCCCAACTAGGATTGAACCCAGGTCTCCTGCATTGCAGGCAGGTTTTTTACTAGCTGAGTCACCAGGAAAGCCCAAGAATGTTGGAGTGGGTAGCCTATCACCTCTCCAGCGGATCTTCCCGACCCAGGAATCAAACTGGGGTCTCCTGCATTGCAGGTGGATTCTTTACCAACTGAGCTACCAGGGAAGCCCATAAATGTTAATATCATCTTAATTACTTCTGACATTTTCCTTTATTCTTATAAATTATCTTTCCATCTAAAGAAATGGCACACCTAAAGGCTAAGTTTACTGTTGCTTAAGTGTCACTCGTTCTCTCCCAAAGCTAACTGGTCTTGCCGTTTGCTCCATTTAATGCACGATCTTCACTGTGCAATTGAAATACATGGAGTCTGGAATTCTCTTCCAACCAAGGACTAATTCCTTTAATTTCACCCAAGTCTTGGGTAAGTTTCTGTCTTTGGTGATAAATGTATGCTTACAGGTAGATTTTTTTTTCCTTTTAATGAAATGTTTTGGATGTTCCAACAATTTCACTGAAATTGTAAAGCTTTAAAAAAACACTTCAAAGTCTTCCTTTCATTAAGTGAGATTTTTTTTTTTCTTTTTCTTCTCCTTCCCCTAAGCACAAGGAAGAAGATACAGCAGTGGAAGGATCTGTGACTTTAAAAGGCCATCCTGGACTGGGTGTAAAAAAGCAGAAATTATGGTGCCAGCTTCCTCAAAGAGTCGGACACAACTGAGCAATTAATGCTTTACTTTCCTCTACTGTATAGGCAGTTTACCTCTGCTTAAGATTGTTGCGCTTGACGCTCACAAATCCAAAGTAACTGTTATTCAAAACTGGCATGGTTTTCTTCTTCCATATGGCAGTAGCAACTATTTATTAAGCACTTCTATGTCAGATACCATGCTGGTTGCTTTGTACATTATCTAATTTTCCCAATCAAGTGAAACGTGACCCCCATTTTACAGAAGAGAAAACTGAGGCTTAGAGATGCTTAAGTAATTTGAAGAACTTGTATATGCAGAGCTCGAGTTTGGAGGCAGAACTGATTCCAAAGTCACTGCTCTTTTTGCTACACCTTGCAATGTCAGTGCCTTGTATTGCCAGGAATTCTTGTTGGGGAATGTTGGGGCTTGCATTCATGACTTTGGCGACTGTTGGTAAGTGAAGGATAGAATAGTACTGAAATGTTCCAGTATATCCAAGAAGGCTCACCAGTGCCCCTCTCCTGCACATAACTGCTCCAGTCTTAATTATTAGATGTTCCCAGCTCTTGACAGTTTACACTTCGATGTACACCAAATTTGGTGCTGTTCCTTTTGTTATCTAACGTCTGATCACGTGTCTTGATAGGTATAAGGAATGCTGGTGAATTATAACTTTGCCAAGGCTCAGGACAAAAGCAACAGCATGAAATAAATCACAAACAATAAGAATATATATATATATTTCAAATATATAACATCAGAAACTCTAGGGACTTCTCTGGTGGTCCAGTGGTTAAGAATCCATGTGCCAATGCAGGGGACATGGGTTTGAGCCCTGGTCCAGGAAGACCTCATGTGCTGCAGGGTACCTAGCCCCATGTACCACAACTACTGAACCCGTGTGCCTACAGCCCCAGCTCCACAACAAGAGAAGCCATCGCAGGCCTGCACACTGCCACCAGAGAGTAGCTCCCACTCAATTGCAATAAGAGAAAGCCCATGCAGCAACGAAGACCCAAGACAGCCAAAAGTAAATAATAAATAAAAATACTAAAAAAAAAGAAAAAAAAGAAAAAAGGAATTCTACCTGTAAAAATACTTTTTTTTTTTTTCATGAAAGATCAACCTCCATAAGACTCTATCTCACTTGCTATGCTAACATAAGAATTCCAATCTTAAGCTTTTTGAAGAACAGTCAATAGAAGGAAATTCCAGTGTGACAAACATTTTGACAATCCCTTAGTGCTATCTCCAACGGGATCTGGTTACATTGTGCTCTTCTAGGAAGGACGGAGCTTTGAATGTAGGTTTTAATCCAACAGTAATTCTCTTTTTCTAGTAGTACTATATGTGGTGATTCCCTGATTGTCTATTTTACAAAATTAGGGCCCTGGGAAGGAAAATAGGTTATTCTTCCTTCCCTATTTTTCTACACTTGAGAGTTTAATACACAACATTTTCATAGTAGTTAATTTTTAAAACTAGGCATTTCTATGCAGATTTAACCAATGTCTTCATTTAGTTGACCAGAAGTTTATTAATATCTACCACCAACCAGAGGGATTACCTCACAGCTCAGTTGGTAAAGAATCTGCCTGCAATGCAGGAGACCCAGGTTCAATTCCTGGGTGGGAAGATCCCCTAGAGAAGGAAATGACAATCCACTCTAATATTCTTGCCTGGAGAATCCCAAGGACAGAGGAGCTTGGCGGGCTACAGCCCATGGGGTCGCAAGAGTCTGAGATGACTTAGTGACTAAATCACCACCATCACCACCACCAACCAGATACACATTAAGTATCACATAATTACATAAGGCTAATTTCTGATTTATGAATTAATAACCTTTCACTTTATTAATAACCTTTCACTGTATCATTTTAATATTAGGGTAATTCAAAATGTTTATACAAACAGGTGTTTTTTTAAATAACACTTATTTAGTAGGAGACCGGGATGCAGTTTTCGTACTGACAGTTACCTTGCTATAGAAAGACTGTGTACCTGGAATCTGACTTCAGAGTCTGTTCTGCCTGTTTTTTGTCTTGGAAATATCACTTCATCCGTTTCCTCATCTATAGGTTGCAGATCACAATAGCCATTCCACAGTGTTCTTATGAAGACAAAATGCCATAAATATAGGAACTATTTTGAGAAATGGAGTATTTCCTGCCATATCAATAAACAAGAATGTCACAGTCATCAGTGATTCCAGCCATTCAGGGCAACCAGGAAGGAAAATAATACCTGCTGCAGGGCAGCCATTAGGCTGCAGCTGTTCCCTATGGTGAGCACTGAGAAAAAACAGGATATGGCCCCAGATAGCTGAGATGCATATGAAAAGAATGATTTCAGTGAGCCCAGACGCTTGCATCTTCTGGTACATAGAACACATTAAATTCCTTGAGGTATATCTGGTTTTCTTTAATTCACAAAAATTCTTTTGATGTTCAGACTACCTGCCCCTTGTTGCCAACTTCCATATAACTTGACCTCCCTCCCCACCCCAACCTCCAGCAGTTCTCTCAGGGTCACTTGAGATGCTGTCTCCCAGGCTTGAAGTCCTAAAAATTCCCACTGAATAAATCATATTTCTCAACTTTCAAATTGTGACTATATTTGACGGCAACATATTCTTCAAAGGCAAAATTGGGTTTAACAGAGATACACACAAAACTGGGTTTTATGGGACCCAAGCATGGTCAGGAACTGGATATCTTAGAAGGGAGTGGGGAGGAGCTTTTTATAGCGATTGAGCTAAGCGGTATTAGTGACTGGGCCCAAGTACCAATCCTTTCCCCCAGGAATTCTACTTCCAAAGCACAGACTTCTCAAATGGGGGTGAACTCAACCCCAGGGCATATTCTGTGATTTTTGTCCTTGGTTCACACCCCTCAAGGCTGCAAGTTTGGGAGAAGCCATTCTTTCACCTTTGTAATCTTGTAATTGCTCGTTTGAAGGTGCTTAACGCCTTTGCTATTAGAGAAGGTCCCTATATAGGGGGCTGGACGTCAGAATACTGAGTCAGGCTAGCGGCTAATTGTATTGAAGTTCTTTCTCTCCAAAGGAAAGGGCAGTGGTGTTTTTCCTAAAAAGAAACCTTGAATTGGGTCCCTCGTGTTCAGCCTAAAGCCTGCAAAGAAATAGATGGTGAGGGCGGGGGCGGCAATAGTTAACTATTTTGACTGTGCTCTGGCTGGAGCCCTTGGCTACAGCCCTGGCGTTGGTCCCAGCGCAAGTGCCCATCCCACGCACCCCGGGTTGTGGGGTGCAGGCGGACAGCCGACTCCGTCTCCCCTAAGCCGCTGAGGCCGAGCTGCTGGTCGTAAGAGATGCAGATGAAGCGGTGTGAAGGGTTGGGCTTTTTTTTTTGTTCCTAAAAATGCAACGAACAAAAAAAAAAGTACAACAATCCAAACCCAACCATCTCGTTGTGCGCCGGTTTCCTTCCCAGGAGGCTCCACGGGCGACCACGCCGCCTCCCGTCGCCCGCGCTCTGCCCGGGCCCAGACCGCGGACCCGCGCGATCCGCGTCCCCGGCCCGGCTCCCCGAGGGCGCGCGCAGCCCTCACGAAGCGAGCGGAGCGCGCCGCCGGGAGCCCGCGCTGCCGGGAGCCCGCCCCTCGGCCCCGCGCACCGCGCGCGGTGGCGGTTGCAGGCGGCGGTTGGAGATACCGGAAGGACTCCCGCCTCCCCTCACCCGCGGCCTCCCTCCCCCGGGGAAAAGCGAGCCCCGGGAGGCGGAACAAAGGCGCGGCTCGGCCGGGGAGGCGGACCGAGGTGCCGGGGGAAGGAGGGCGTCGGGGCCGGGCCCGTCGGCGCCGCGAGTCCATTTTGCAGCCGTTCCCGCCTCGTAAACGCGCGGTACCTACGGCCGGAGGACTGGCCGCTGCGCGGCTCCCGGCGACTCCCCGCCACCGGCCCCGGAGGTCCGAGATAAGTACGCGCCGGCTGGCTTCTCCTGGGGAAGCGGGGTGGGGACTTGCCCTGGCTGGGCGGGCACCTGCGTGCGTGGGGGCTGGCGGAGAGCTCGGTCTGCGCTCGGGTCCCCGCGGAGAGCAGCCGAGCCCGGGAAGCGGAGGTGGGGGGGAACGGCGTGCGGGTGGGCGGCCGGGGGCCGGGGGCCGGTCCAGCGCGGCCGGGCTCCAGGAAATCTGCTCCGCTACCCAGCGCTCCTGGCTTCACCGCCGGCTCCTCGGGATCGCCTACAAAAGAAGAGGCGACCGTGAACCAGAGTCTGAGCGCGCGACCACCACCCTCTGGTACTGAACGCGGGGAGGTGCCTGGTGCCGGGGGAGGGCGCCCTAGCCGTGAAGCTCCTTAGCACAAAAGATCGCCAGGCTCTCCCAGGCTCCTGGCCTTTTCACCAGGTCCTTGCCGCCTGGCCTTCTTTGGGGGTGGGGGGTGGTGGGGGGGAGATGATTGGAAAAAACGTTGAGGGTCAAGACTAAGGATACAGTGCAGATAAATGTATAACACTCTTCTTTCTTTGTTCTTGTTGCAGTAACCTCGTTTTGATTACCAGTCACGACCAAAACCTGATTGCTTTGCCTTGGGAAACAAGTACTCCTGGCTTGCAAGTGACAGAGGTAAACTACAATACTTTTCCCTACATTAAGCAAAAAAGCACCCAATTTCTTCAGGCCCAGAACCTTTCAAAATCGAACTCTGTCGAGTGTATGTGTTCCCACCCTCATAAATGGTCTTTGTTCTTTTCATATTTTGTCAAAACCCAGAAAAATAGATTCAGTACTTAGACATTCTTTATATGACAGTTATTTGAAACATAATTCAAAGATTTGTATTGCAAAGGAAAAGAGGCTACAACAACTTTTGCTTTTGAATAGGGTTTGTCTTTTTTTTTTTTTTCAATTTCTTGTGTCACTGCTGCTTGGGTTTGTACAACAGGGCTTGAGATTTCTGACCCTAGAGACCTGTATATAATAGGTATTTTAAAAGCAGAATTTCTTTCACATAGCCAGTGCCTCTGGTAGAACTTGATGGAGTTGTTGATTAACTGCTTATACTTCTGTCTTGCACAGTAAGAAGATATATTTCTTCATACTCTCCTGTCTTTCCCTAAAAAGACTGTTGTCCTTTTTTTTTTCACCAGCTGACATACTAAGCCTCTCTGGCAAGTCTTTCTGTAACACCAGGTTATTTTTATTCTCTACATGTATTGGTTACCTGGCCCTACTTCTGCCACAGCTGTTCAGCTATGCCCATCTCCACCAACGGTGCTTTGCACCTGCTATGCTATGTAACACTTACTTTGCCCTCCCTTGAAATTATAGTTCAACAGAGTCCAACTGTCTTAGGACTTTTTTTGGTTAATACACTCATGCTCTAACATACACTGTAAATGTGTAGTTATAGTTCAGTTCAGTCACTCAGTCCTGTCTGACTCTGCCCCATGAACTGCAGCACACTAGGCCTCCCTGTCCATCACCAGCTCCTGGAGTCCATCCAAACCCATGTCCATTGAGTCGGTGATGCCATCCAACCATACCGTATCTATACACACATATGTTAATTAAATCACCTTACACTGATATAGATCAATAGTTTACATGATTGTCACACATTACTTAATCTTTCCAAGAACATTATGAAGTAGGTATTGTAAAAATCCTGATTCCATGAAGGGTAGAACTAGTGCTTGGAAAGCTAGGTAGTTAGATGCACTTTCAGTGCTCTTTACCCTTCTTCACTGGAGAACCTGTTACAACCTACTTTGTAAAAATTATAGCATTTTAGAAGGGGTTTAGAGAACTCATGATTAAATGTCTCCATTTAATGAGCGAGGATCCTGAATTCTTGACCCACTTTTCCCGTAACTGGGCGGCTCAGACCCTATGCCTTGCCTGCTGTGAACAGTGCAGGGTGGGGCTCTGTTTTCACTGGTAAAGTTAGGTGTTTAGCTAAATGACCTCTAAGGTGTTGTTAAGCCCAGTATTTGTTTTATTCTTACCCCATAACTTTTAGCACCATGTACTATATATTGGTAATATGCAGACACATACTAATATTAACTGCCTTAAACTGTTTTATACTTTAAACTTAGGTAGGTATGGTAAAGTATGCCTTTTTCTTTTTTTTTTTACTAAGTTCTATAAAAGTATGGTTCTGTTGTAAGGTCAGGAACTACTTGGAGAGGTGGAGCATCATCATGCATCATTGGTCAGAGTTCAGAAAGTGGTATACTCTTTTCTATAGGGAAACTTGGTGGTCTTTTCAAGAGCCTTGAGAATGTTTCTACTCTTTAACTCACCTGACAATACACTTAAAGGAACCATCTAAGGAAATAATTAGAGTGTTGGACTAAGACTTTGCTACATTGTTCATGAAAATGTTATAAACCCCCCCCAAAATAAACAGTAGGAAATAGCATATCCATAAGATAGATGATCATGTTTTGAAAGAATAGGGGAACAACAGAGGAAATGCAAGTAATAAAACAAGTGGAAAAAGTGGACAGAGTTGTGTTATGTTACCAGTCCTGTTAAAATATGTGTATGTGCACACACACACAAGATTGGAAGAAATATGCCAAAATAATGTTAGAAGAAATACACCAAAATAATAATAATGGTTATTTCTTGGCAATGTGACCGTGGGTAATTTTTTTCTCTATATTTCCTGAATTTTCTGTAATCACAAATTATAATTGTAGAAAAACAAAATCCACTTGTATGGATAACCTCTCCAACGTTAATCTGGTGTCAGCTTTCTACGTCCTTTTGTAAGGCATTTATTTATTTATTTATTTTTTTAAAGATAATCTCTTTCTTTATTGGAAACTCAAGGGACAGATCTTTACAGAAAACGATCAGACCCTGAATCAGCAGAGCGGTTTGTGAGCGCGGTGCACGGGGCCCGGGAGCGTGTCCTCCCGGGAGCCAGCGCTTGTAGGACTTGCTCTGGTGGGCGCAGGTGGGTTCGATGCCTTCTCTTCTGTTCTCTGGGACAAAAAGGCATTTATTATACCTTATATGGTAATACCTCTGTAAATGTACTGTATTTTGGAATTTAGGGCAGGAATTGATTTTTGACTTAGTATTTCATCTTTTAAAACAGCGTTAGATTGTTGGATTATCCATCTTTGTATTCATGAAAGACATTGCTACTGCCGTTACCTTGCCTTGAAACTCTTAGGTACTAGAGGAATAGTACCCCTAACAGGTAAGCAAAAAATAGGTGTCCTTTGACATATAGAATAGTTACACTCCAGTTAAGCCCTTAAGGGAACCCAAGCAAATTCCTTTAATGTGGATTGCTTTCTAATTCATTTGCATTATAGATGTAGATACATTTCTAAGGAAAAGTTGAACTGAAAATTTTTGCTGATAGTTTAAATGATTGTCTTTCCTGTGGAATAAGCACCACAAGTGTATCCTATTTGGCAATAGCCTGGCCACCCCTTTAAAATTCCCAGAGGAGCTCTTGGTTCTCCTGAATATGTGCAGATACTGAATAGGAGGGAGGACTGTCAACATAGTGGATAGAATATAGCCAACCTGGAAACTGCTTAAAGTTTAGCATAACTAGGTTTCTGTTTGAAATAACTTCTAGATGAGTTTTACTTAGAATAAAATGTGTATGTAATTCTACACTGAACAAAGGGAACTTGGTTCAGACCAATTTTATTGGTAGGTAGTACTGATCAGTTAGCCACAAAATAACCTTCTTCTCTTGGTACAGTATTACACACTAAGTAATTTCACTTCCCAGATAGATTTAGCTTGCTGTGTACTGAACTGACAGTACTTTTCTGAAAGCTGGCATTAACCTCAAATGCAGGGCTAGATGATGAAAACGTTTAATAGATACCAATCTGTTGGGGATAATAATTTAGGCTAATGATTGCCAAGTTTATTATTGTGAAAGAAGATTTGTTCTAGGGGTAAAATTTTGTCACCTTCATTTAAACCTGTTTACATTTATTTGGGAGAAAAGAAACCAGACACCTCTGGTTCAGAAAACCTTTGTCGGTAGTTCCAATTAAAGTTAATTTTAACTCTTAACAGGTAAAGATAAATAATCTGAGTCTGGTTGGTACCAGACTAGGAGAATAATTTAGGCCATATGTTATGGTTCCTTGAAATTCAGACCTCATTTTATTCTAATTGATTTCATCTGGGTGGGAGAGAATGGGATTCCATGCCATTAGATGTCGTCATAGATTTCTAAATAATTGTTCATAAATAGGATAGTGATACCTGATCTAGCTCATAATCCTAGAACTATTGATTTAATGCTACTGATTAACAGGATTACAGAATAATATCTTGGGTGACTATCAGGTGAGAGAGAGAAGGTGTTAGATAAGAGGAAATAAAAAAGATTATATTCCTTGAAGTAGAATGGGGAAGATGAGTTAAAAGAAAAATAAACAAAAAAGAGTCAAGGAAAAAGAGTGGCATAGAGAAGAGAATTAAAGAAAGGAAAAAACTAATTTTTTCC